TGATAAAATCGGTTTTGATACAAGAGCATTAGAGACGGGCAGCTTAGAAAATGACTTTATTAAAACTGCGATTAAAACTAATGATGTGTAATTGTTCTAACCACGATCCTCCTCTTGATGATCCCACGCATCGTTCGGGTGTTAACGGTCTCCTTCGTCCTCTTCTGAACATGTCCTTCATCTTTCCATTGCCTTACAATCTTCTGGATGGTCCTCAGAGCTATCCCAAGCCAATTCTGATTTCTATGTAGGCAATCGCTTGTCTTATCCCTTCCCCTTTCCCCTCATCTTCCCTCTCCTCCCTCTCCACCCTCTCTTTCCTTCCCTCCTCTTCCCTTCCCTCCTTCCCCAAGAAGGAGCTTTATAGGAACTAAAGAAAACGGAGCTTAAATAAGGAAAAAAATGGAATTGATATACCAAGTATAAAGTGTGTTCCTCTTGCTTAATGCGTGTTCTAAGAAGCTCTCATCTCAGAGAACTTTACTCAAAACGCTAGTTTACATCGTTAGTAAACCAATTTTCTTTCATGGACTGAGCCTTGTGATTCCCTGTGATTCCCTGTGATTTCTGCGATTCCTTTACCTTGTGATCCCACACTCCACAAATGCTGTAACATCTAGGTAACTCTTTATTCAGTGTCTTTGAGAAATTGCAAGTTTCATTTCACAAAAGCCATCTCTATATACAGTGTTGTGAAATATAGAAAATAATCCAAGGGATTGGGGAAGGAGGAAGGGAAGAGGAAGGAAGGAAAGAGAGGGAAGGGAAGAGAAGAGAGGGAGGAGAAGGAAGATGTGAGAAAAGGGGAGGGGATAAGACAAGCGAGTGCCTATAGAAATCAGAATTGGGAACGAAATTGGTTATCAAATCTTTGAACTGAAAGCAGCTAGCTGGTAGTGGATAGACATAAAGATAGTTAACACGTTTTTGATCGTTTGAATCCGATTTTTTGTTTTAGGTTGTTATCAATCCAGCTTCCATATAAATATAAATAGTATTGGGACTGACAATGATTTCGATCTGCCATCAGTTCACAGCTTCTAACACATACGTCTTCTCTCCTCTTGTCTTGTTCTTCTCTTCGCCGTTCTTTCTCTTAAAGCTCTTTTAAAGCTCCTTCTTTATCGTCCTTATTTAGTTCCTAACTCTAACTAGCTCTAACAAAAGCATTGCGTCTGTTCTCCTCTTGTCTCGCTCTTCTCTTCGCCGTTCTTCTCGCCTTCAATGGGTTCAAGTTTAAATAAATTAATATTCTCAAAGTTTTATTCAATTAGCGCATTTCTCAGCCTATAAATCAACTTTGGCTTATTAGAAAGATGGCCCAAAGTGCCTCAAAGCTCAAAAGAAATCAAAGATTTTAGCTTGTTCTGCCATGGTGAACTCTGCTGTCGTCCCGGCGTGCGACTCCTCTTGTCCAGTGAGTTAAATTCTCAATCAAAAAATATTCTGACTGTTGCTACAAACACCGTTAAACAAGGCGGATAAAGGCTTAGTTTAAAAAATTAGTTTTGTCGTCACAATTTTCTCAATTCATTTAAAAAATATTTATTCTTAGAGTGTTGTCGTCGCTTGCTGCGTTTCAAAAGACTTTAATGGTGGTTTCTGCATCGGTGGAGCCGCCTTCTGCAACTGAAAACCAGAATATCTTTCGAATGTTGTGCGCAATCATTTTGTTTTCTTATATAAACTGAATCGTGGATTTTTGCTTTCCATCTTTCTTGCTATTTTGCTAATCTTGCTATTTTTCTATATCTTTCTACATCTTTCTATATTTTTCTATATTTTTATGTCTTTCTATCTTTCTATATTTTTCTCTTTCTTATTTTTGTATATTTTCCATTTTTCTATTTTTCGATATTTTTCTTTCCTTTCTATTTTTCTATATTTTCCTATTTTTCATATCTGATATTTATACTTTCTATCTTTCTACATCTTTCTACATCTTTCTATCGTTCTATATCTTTCTATATCTTTCTATATTTTTCTTGAAAGATTTGAATTTGTTTTGTTTGTTTGTTTTTGTTTTTGTTTGTTGTTTGAATTTGTTTTTTTCAAAGACAAATCCAAAAAAGAGACACGTCAATCCAAGCACTTTTCCTTTCTCTAATCTTTTCCAAACGATTCTGCAATCGATTCTTTTCACTTAAAATTTCAGAGATTTCTTCGATTCGTCCAGGTCTCCGCCGCGATTCGATCGGTGATCGTCCAGTTCCGCTACTTCATCTCGAGGTAATCAAGCTTTTCTTATATTCATAAATTCCAGATTTTTCCTGTGATAAAGGATAAGATTCCATTTCAGATGGGACAAGGACCTCGAGTCTGGAGGAATCGGGCAACAAGTGGTGCGTGCTTGTTGAAGAAAAAGAATAAGGAAAGGGCTGATCTTTAAAGGATCCTTTTCCATTTTGCAATGAAATGCTAGCCATTTGAGATTTACCGTTTGAGTTTACCGGCTTGTTTTTCAATTCTACTCAAAAAAATATTTAATTTTTTTCTATGAATCAGCATCACGCAAATCGTTATTATGGTAGCTGATTACACGACTATAAATCTTGCGAGGAATACGTTTCATGAAAACGCAGACTTAGCTAAAAATTAGTGTAAAAATGAGCTGTAGGTCAAAAAAGCAGAATGCAAAAGCATGAGCGCTGACTCTAAGCCTTTAAGATACTCAACTACTTTTGCAGTCCTCACTACCTTATGGAATCAGAGGAAAAGTTTGAAAAATACAGAAAAAAAGCTTGAAAACATGAAATAAGAGCAACAGAATAAAGGACAAGGTTGTGAAGAGTTGACATTTAAAATATAAGTCCACTTCGAGATAGAGATCTATGACCACTCATTTCAGAATTGGTGCTTGGCCTTCACAATTCATCGCACAGAATCGGGGCAAACAATCGATCGAATCCCATTCATCGGACACCGCGACAACAGCAACAACTCCAGCCACCGCCACCCATTCATCTGCCAATGCACGGCCCGCAACATGTTCGTTTTTGAAAACATTAATCTTTAATAATATTGAACTCTCGCCTTTCTTGGCGATATTTGTCGTCAATCTTTTCCTTAGAATTACTATCGTGCTTCGGATGTAACCAGGCCTTAAATTCTTCCTCTAAAAGGCATCTATTCATAAAACTACCGCAAATCAGACATTTTTCCTCTCTGGTCAGATTTGATGAGCAATCATTCAAGTCTCAATGAATGAGCTCAAATTTGATTGATTATGATATTTTTCTTAAATATATTTGCTAAAGAAATTATCAGCTAGAGGAATGCTCGCTCCAGTTGGAACCAGCCCAGCCTTGAGCTTCTAATGGTCTTCTTTGAGCCGGTTCTATTCTTCAAAAACTTTAAAAACCATTCAAGTGTTGAGGGTGACGTCAGGATAGGATTTTCAAAATATCATACCGCTTATACCAAAGAAATCTTTTCAAAGAACTTTTTCCTAGTTTGAAATATTCCCTTGTCAGACATGACATCAATGATAAGTACACTTATTGTTGTCATTCTTTGCCAAGATCTCCTCGAGTTCCTAGAATTGCGTAAAGAAATGTCCTTAATCTTTATTTACTCGCTTATAAGGATGATTTAACAGCTATCTACACTGATGAAATATGATATTTGAAAAAGATCGTCACTTTCGCGCGGCTGCAACTCCCATGTCTTTACCACTAAATAATAATATTAACACGTGGTCAGCCTTGAAAAGACCTTTCAGAAAATGTATAACACTAATAGTTTAAACTCAAAGCCAAGGTACGTAGCTGTAAACAATGAATAGAATAGGGAAGCCAGTCTAAGCCAAGCCATTTCCCTCACTCGCCCTGACTCGATCGGCGTACTGTTTTGCCGCTTAATATGTCCGATTTGTTCTGTTGTTGCCGTTGCTTCATATGCCCTGAAAGCTCTTCCTTGCTTAGAAGCTTCTTTTTTTTCACTTTACATCTCGACCCTTTTGCAATTGTCGAATGTAGTCACAAGATGCGTTGAGAATCGTCCCTTTGTTCAGCTTCATCTCTCTAAATTCGGCGGTGACAACGCGAAGTGAATGTCCAAATATTTGATCCAATTATACCTGCAAGCACTTTTTGTGACTATGGACTATTCGACATTATCGAGTCAATAAGCAAAAATTTCGTGTTGGTGTGTTGCTTTAGATTTCCGGAGTTGCAGATGGAAATTATGCTCGAAAATCGGTTAATAAAACGTATCCTTTTTCAGACTACCGTAACCTTGTCTTTACTTTACCCAATCTATCTACTATACAATACTTTACCCAAAGCGTTTTCTGGACTAAAAGCGTTTTCAGTCCTGAAAGCCGTTCAGACCTGGAAGTCTGACCGTAATCAATGCTTTTCAGTGCTGAAAACCCTTTCAGGCCTGAAAACGCTCCCACCGGAATTACTCTTAATAAACTCTTTCACTAATGGTAATAGCACGGAGATTATTCTCTTTTTCTTTCAATATACAATACGACAATTTATCTGGAAGACGTCAATGGCTGAGTCCAGGAGTGATTCCTAAACCGACATCGAAACCAGAACAACATGGAAAGAAAGCTCTTCTCTGTGTTTGGTGGATTAACCAAGGATTACTTCATTTTGAAGTGCTAAAAAGGCGAAATGGTTACTGCTGATCTCCACAGTAAACACTGGGGCCAGACGATCAGGTCCTCCCCCAAAAAGGCTTCGATCCGAGGACTATCCACTTGCTTTGTGATAACGCAAGACCGCATGTGGCAAGGAAGGCTCAGGAAAAGCTCGAAGAGTTAGAGTAGCAAGTGCTTCCTGATGCCCGTATAGTCCCGATTATCACTTATTTCGGACTATGGAACATTCCCTGCGAGAAGAACAGCTCAAAGACATCGATGGGATCAACAATTGGGTGGTCAACTTCTTCAACTCAAAGCCCGCTTAATGAGATAACCACTACACCACGAGACCGCAGTGGCCGCTGGGAAATTGACAGGGCTAAAAGGGGCCACATCTGTCAAAAACTGATCTTAAAAAAAGGTAGTTTTGTGGAAAAATGGCAGAATGAGTTGAATAGTTCCTATTTTTAGCTCGTGCTCAGAGGTCTCGTGGTGTAGTGGCTATCTAACATACACAAGGTCGGCGGCAACTCAAAAGAGAGAGTTTTGAAATGACGAAAAAGGTTCGAAATCGGCAGAAATTTTCAATTTCAAGAATTTTGCGAAAGTTCAACGAATGCGCAGATGGCGCATTCGCAAAATGCGCAAAATGGCGGATAAGAGGTGATGTAGAAGAACATGAAGACTGAGGAAAGCCTGGATTTTCACGAAGAGATTATAGCAATCCAAGAAATGACCGATAAATAGAGAATCAAATGTTAGAGAAAATCGCTTTAGATTGAGGTGCTAATAAAATTTTAGACATCTACTTTGATGGTCCCATTAAAACTTATTTAGAATTTTTACGATAATTATTTTTGGAAAGCAAGATGCCTCTATTAATTCTTGACACTCTTTTTTAGATTTGATCTCAAAAGAGAAAGTTTTGAAATGACGACTCAAAAGAGTCGTCATTTCAAAACTGAAAAAAACGTAATCATTATTCTCCCGATTGCTGTACATGTGAAAGAGAATACCGAAAGAGAATGTCTAACAAAAAAGACAAGAAAATGACGGTAAAGATCTGCAATATTTCGCATTAGCTTCCGCACAATTTTATTTGAAGGATGTCTTAGCCATCTTCAGAGCACAATGATTTATATAGACTATTTTCTGAGGGCACTATTTTCTGATTTGAGGACCTCTTTTAGTGTTTGAAAAATGAAAATAGAGTCAGATTTGTGAAGAATTTTAATTTTCGGTAGGTTGAGTTGAGATTCGCTAGACTTTTAATTCTCGTATCCCCTTACAGTCATTTCAAAACTGAAAGGCAAAGGCAATGGAGATTAGAGAGATCAGCCTTGAACCGTCTGAGATCAGCCTTGAACCGTTGAACGGAAGTAATCGAGTTCTTTTTTGGGTGGGTTCGAATCTTCAATCGCGAAATGTTTATTTTTAACAATGAGATTTACAAATAGTTACAATGTTTTGTTTATTTGCCACTTCATAAAACTGTTTGAAAAATGAAAATAGAGTCAGATTTGTGAAGAATTTTAGTTTTCGGTATTGAGTTGAGATTCGTTAGACTTTTAATTCTTGTATCCCCTTACAGAGATTAGAAACCCCTGGGGAGATCGAATTTTTCGTATCGAAGGTTGTCGAAAAGGTGTAGTATCCATCTGTCCAAAATAGTTTTGAAGCAAAATAATGATTAACCACTAAAGATTTCCGGCTACATTTCAAGGAATTATAAAATATGAAAACCTCAAATGATCTAAAAGGTAAGCTACGTATGCTATAATATTAGAATCTACACAAAATTTGACTTTAGAAATGTTCTATTTGTTTCATAGACTTACCAATAAAAACCTAGATAAAATTAGGGTCAAAGTCGGATAAGCCTTCTACAAAGCCTTTTCAGTATTGAAAGCCTTTTTTTCAAATAAAATTTCAACTAAAATAGTTCTTTGTGTTCTAAATAGAATTCTTCTACCTCTAAATATAATTATTTTCTCCCAAAGATAGATCGGAAAAATGGCAGAATGAGTTGAATAGTTCCTATTTTTAGCTCCAGACCAGAGGTCTGGTGTAGTGGTTATCACATCTGTCTAACATACACAAGGTCGGCGGTTCGGCCCAGCCCGAGATCATTTTAATTTTTCAAATTTGTTCGCCAATCGCTTTGCTTTTTTAACTACCAGAGGTAGTTTTCGATAGTAATACGAACTAGATAGGCTGGTCACATGACTTGAGCCATGGACCTATCAACGCAGAATTTTACGCTGAATCCGAATCTGCTAAATAGCACTCTGTCAAAAGTTATGAGTATCCAAAGTTTAAAAACTTTAAAAACATCACTTGAGTTTATAAGCAGATTTTTCGGAGACTTTAGAGTGGTGGCCGATGACAGCCAACTAGAACGTGGGGCAGACCCCTGGAAGTCAAAAGATTCAAAAAAACATTTCACAATTCTTTGTAGAGAAGATGAAGAAGAAATAGCGTGTCCTGAGTGAAGAGTACCAAGAGCACATTAATAGCAGCCTTATTTCAATTTTGTTCACCTAATGTGTTGAATCAATGCCTATCTTTCTTCTAACAACATTAAATTTAAAATTTACCGGCACGTATATCATCCAGCGTTAATGTAGTGGGCGTAAGAGCGCCTAATGACATTTTCCTAAATATTAACATCAACTTGGCTGCTAGGCTATAGCAATGCTATCTTCCACAACTTGGATCAGGTACTAAGAAGAATTTACTTTTGTCTCTCGGCTTGACCTGTTTTTGAAGTTCCGCTTCTCTCCTAGATTTCCTAATTCGGGTGATCAAGTGGGCGTTTATCATGGCATTGGTGAAATCTCTATCCTCGGAATTGAGAATCTTGCCAAAGACAATCAAAGGGAACTATGCGGGTCAAGGACTTGATTGGGGCTTCTCATTCACTCATTTGGGGAAAACCCTGTGGAACGAATCAGTTAGCTAGACTATCCGATTCATTCCAACGGAACTCCTTTAAGGAGGGGACACGCTTCGCTTTTCGCTCTACCCCTCCAGTCTTCTCCAATTTCTTCTCTAAGTTTCTCCCGTGTTTTCAGATTTGCCTTTTTCCAGCTTTTAGAAAGATCCTTTAAAGCTCCTTCTTTATCGTCCTTATTTAGTTCCTAGCTCTAAGGTGTTGTTCATAAAATAGGACTCTTCTCTTTTGTCTCATATCTCTACTTGCAATTGACGGATCGACTTGGGGTTTGTTTTAGAATGTAGCTAATGAAATTCTATTATAGACTTGCTTAGTAAACTGTAATGTAAAAACATACAGAAATTTTCGGTCAAAGTTCACCAGGTCAAAGTTCAAGTTTTAGCCCTGTCAATTTCCCAGCGGCCACTGCGGTCTCGTGGTGTAGTGGTTATCTCATTAAGCGGGCTTTGAGTTGAAGAAGTTGACCACCCAATTGTTCGACTCATCGATGTCTTTGAGCTGTTCTTCTGGCAGGGAATGTTCCATAGTCCGCTACCATTTCCATTTGGAAAATGCTACCATTTCCTATAAGCGAGCTAATCTTAACCTAATCCCCGTTATCTTTTAATGTATCCTGATTTGGTAACTTGAATAGTGGTGTAAAATAGTAACCCACCCTCTAATAGTGCCCCACCCTCTAATAGTACCCCACCCTAGAGGGGGGAGGGAAAAAATAGTACCCCATGGGGTCCAATTACAGTATTTACGGTAGGTCTAATTCATTTTACTTTTTAATTCACATGATTTGGTAGCAGTCTTCTAATAGAGTTATGTACTCATTTGGACAGCTAAACTAGCATTAGTAAATTAGGAAATCTTCAGGTATGAGAATCCAAAACGACAATCCAAAGCGACAAAGGAAAATTGAAAACGACTTGAAAGCGATAAAAATTTGTATCAAAAACTCTTTGCGAATCCTAAGCACGGCTAAAAAGCTCGGTCAAAATCATGTCCAAAAGTTGCATATAAATAAGTTAGATATTCAATCTTAACATTTCTCTTTCAGTTTCTGCGTCTGCGCATCTTGTAACTACATTCGACAATTGCAAAAGGATCGAGATGTAAGTGAAAAGAAAAAAGTCTCTAAGCAAGGAAAAGCTTTCAGGGCATATTAAGTAACGGCAACAATAGAACAAATCGGACATATTATGCGGCGAAACACTACGCCGATCGAGTCAGGGCGAGTCGGGGAATGGCTTGGCTTAGTTTGGCTTCCCTATTCTATTAATTGTTTTTTTTACAGCTACATACCTTGGCTTTGAGTTTAATACTTTGTGGTGTTTCACTTGCATTATTCTAAAGATATTCTGCCTTGTATCTCAGGTTCAGCGGCATTCGGTCGCCGATGCACGCTCGATTACAGTGGGGCAATTCGCGTGTGTTACTGTCGATCATCTTGATCCTTGTTCAAACGGCTAAAAAGTTGTTTTTGGACTACCGTAGATTTTGCCTTTAAGCAGGTTTTCTGACTTTCAATGAAATCAGAAGTGAAGTTTAATCGAGAAATCTTTCGAGCGAGAAATACGCGGAAATCGTCACCGTCCTCCAACAATTGCCGAATGAAGTTCAAGCCATCGAAAAAATACAAAAACTTTGATTCTCTCTTCGATATTCTCTGCGATTCTCTCTTCGATACGAATTGAATCAAAAGATGCTTTACAATCATGGGATTAAAGGCGATTTGGACAAACCAAAGAAAGTCGTTAAGGCAGAGGAGGTCCTTGACCTCCTCCATCCATCTCCTCCATCCATCTCCTTCACTAATGGTAATACCACGGAGATTATTCTCTTTTTCTTGCAATATACAATACGACAATTTATCTCGAAGACGTCAATGGCTGAGTCCAGGAGTAATTCCTAAACCGACATCGAAGCCTGAACAACATGGAAAGAAAGCTCTTTTCTGTGTTTGGTGGATTAACCAAGGATTACTTCATTTTGAAGCGTTAAAAAGGCAAGATAGTTACTGCTGATCTCCACAGTAAACACTGGGGCCAGACGATCAGGTCCTCCGCCAAAAAGGCTTCCATCCGAGGACTATCCACTTGATTCATGATAACGCAAGACCGCATGTGGTAAGGAAGGCTCAGGAAAAACTCGAAGAGTTAGAGTGGCAAGTGCTTCCTGATGCCCCGTATAGTCCCGATATCACGTATAGTCCCCAGATTATCACTTATTTCGGACTATGGAACATTCCCTGCGAGAAGAACAGCTCAAAGACATCGATGAGATCAACAATTGGGTGGTCAACTTCTTCAACTCAAAGCCCGCTTAATGAGATAACCACTACACCACGAGACCGCAGTGGCCGCTGGGAAATTGACAGGGATAAAAGGGCCACATCTGTCAGAAACTCTACATCTACAGTTTGTTCTACCCATTAAATGTGGGGAAAAGTCGGCTCGAGTCAGGCAAATTGCTTTTAGGCTGTTGCCGAGGCTTACTTTGTTATTTGTTAACAAGAGAGATGTTTTTAAAACCCCATACAAAACTTTGGATACTCATAACTTTTGACAGAGTGCTATTTAGCAGATTCGGATTCAGCGTAAAATTCTGCGTTGATAGGTCTATGGCTCAAGTCATTTGACCAGCCTATCTAGTTCACCTTTTCGTATTACTATCAAAAACTACCTCTGGTAGTTAAAAAAGCAAAGCGATTGGCGGTCAAATTTGAAAAATTAAAATGATATCGGGCGGGGCCGAACCGCCGACCTTGTGTATGTTAGACAGATGTGATAGCCACTACACCAGGAGACCTCTGGTCTGGAGCTAAAAATAGGAACTATTCAACTCATTCTGCCATTTTTCCACAAAACTACCTTTTTTAAGATCAGTTTTTGACAGATGTGGCCCCTTTTAGCCCTGTCAATTTCCCAGCGGCCCTGCGGTCTCGTGGTGTAGTGGTTATCTCATTAAGCGGGCTTTGAGCTGAAGAAGTTGACCACCCAATTGTTGATCTCATCGATGTCTTTGAGCTGTTCTTCTCGCAGAGAATGTTTCATAGTGCGAAATAAGTTATAATCTGGGGGAGCCATATCGGGACTATACGGGGCATGAGGAAGCACTTGCCACTCTAACTCTGAGTTTTTCCTGAGCCTTCCTTGCTACATGCGGTCTTGCGTTATCGCAAAGCAAGTGGATAGTCCTCGAATTACACATCATTAGTTTTATTCGCAGTTTGCAAAGATTTTTTTTCATATAAAACTTGAAACAAATCGGTTTTTTGGATTGTGAGAAATTTTGTTTTGAACGTTTTATTTTTGTTTTGTTTTGTTTTGCTTTGTTTCTCTATTCAACGCTTTCAAAAAAAAAAACCATTCGCAGTCCTCGGATCGAAGCCTTTTTGGCGCGGGTTAAAAAACATCCCTTGGGTTTATAAGCAGATTTTTGAAATAAGGCCTCTATTAATGTGCTCAAACGTTCTTATTTCAGGAATGAGACGTCGATCGGTTGGTTCGTTTCTTGTGTGTGATGAGGCGCGCAAGCTGAAACCGGATTTTGTTAACTTTTTAAAAGACTGTTTCACCATCATGTACAGAGTGCGGCCTAAGTATAGTTACAAGGTTGTAACATCGATTTAAGAAACTGGTTGATTTTTATTTCTTGACTGTAGCTAAACTGCAAGGAATTTCCGAGAATAAAAATTGAATTGTCTTGATGGCCCTGTTGTGAACTTTTTCTCCATTTCTATCACTGTTTTAAAACTACATTCCATAAATTCTTATAGCTAAGTTTTTTTAATTCCTTTGTTATAAAGTGATTTTCAACCAACCATGTGCTCTTTGAGATGTGCCTCACGTTCCCAATAGAGACCCACTTTTGAAAGCCCTAAATTGATTAACGATTTTAAACTCGACGGCTTGTTGAGCTTACTTATGATTAGATTTTAGTATTAACCGACGATAATCTCTAAAACGAATCAATTTTTGTGAGTTGATTTGCTACACTTAATTTAATCTTTAATTATTTTCATTTTTAGAGATGGGAAGATGAAAACAACGCACACCGGAGCTATATCTCGACCCAACATGCTGGTCATAAATATTTGGCAAAAAGATTCGAAGACACAGGACGCATCCCTAATCAGTTTGCTTCAAAAAATTTCCACGTGATCACTTGTCCCTCTCAGCTCACGTTTTTGATCGTTTGAATTCGATTTTTTGTTTTAGGTTGTTATCATTCCAGCTTCCATATAAATAGTATTCGGACTGACAAGGATTTCGATCTGCCATCAGTTCCAGCTCCTAAACACATACGTCTTCCTCTCCTCTTATCTTGCCTTCTCTTCGCCTTTCTCTCTTAAAGCTACTTTATCCCTATTTAGCTTTTAGAAAGCTCCTTTAAAGCTCCTCTTTATCGTCCTTATTTAGTTCCTAGCTCTAACTAGCTCTGACACAAGAAATGCGTCTGCTCTCCTCTTGTCTCGCTCTTCTCTTCGCCGTTCTTCTCGTCTTCAGTGGGTTCAAGTTTAAATAAATTAATCTTCTCAAAGTTTTATTTAATTAGCGCATTTCGCAGCCTATAAATTGCTTTAAGTTTTTGGCTTATTGGAAAGATGGCCCAAATGGCTTCGAAGCTCAAAAGAAATCAAAGATTTTAGCTTCTTCTGCCATGGTCAACGCTTTGCCGTCCCGGCATGCGACTCCTCTTGCCCGGTGAGTTAAATTCTCAATCAAAAAATATTCTGAATGTTGCTACAAACACCGTTAAACAAGGCGGATAAAGGCTTAGTTTAAAAAATTAGTTTTGTCGTCACAATTTATTTATATTATTTTTAGAGTGGTGTCGTCGCTTGCTGCGTTTCAAAAGACTTTAATGGTGGTTCCTGCATTGGTGGAGCCGCCTTCTGCAACTAAAAACCAGAATATCTTTCAATGTTGTGTGCAATCATTTTGTTTTCTTATATAAACTGAATCGAATGGTTTTTGCACGAAAACAAGAAATTTTTCAAATAAAATTTTTGGTGTCCAGCTATAGTTCTTCGTCCTGGTTTTCGTTACACTTTGGACCTTTGATGGGAGCTGAGTTATGCTTTATGCTTCTGTGCTGGGTTGTATAAAAACATCCCTTTTGTAAACAAAAAAAATGTTTTAATCTTTTTGAATACAAATCCACAAAAACAGCAAGCGATTTTGCAATAGCATACCGTTGTGCAGCTGGTTCAAAGGTCGTCGCTAGGACACTCCACTTCAAAAACATCTGTTCTTTTTTATGGCCAAAAGTTAGCCAATCTTTTACAGAATTGAATACCTGATCTCTCATTGTTTCATTCATCGAGATTTAGCGGCAAGGAATTGCTTAGTTGGTGAGAATCGACTGATCAAAGCGTTGACATTCGGGATCATGAGATCCGCGTATGAGGGGGATTATTATCCGGTCAGTAGGAAAATGGTTGTATGAATTTGAATGATTATAATGATTGTAATGATTGTAATGAAGGTAATGATTGTAATGATGGTAATGATTTGCACAGATTTGCACGGATTTCTTTGTCCAGCAGTGAAGATGCTTAGTCAACTAAATCAAAACTAAAAATTTATCAAAAAATCATAGCGACATGTTTTCGTTGAGTCTTCGAACTTGAATATAAAAAGAAGAAGAAAATGAACAAGGTCACCTGTGCGGCGCAAATTTTTGTAGTCAAATTCATATTTCTCTGAGAAAGAAATATTACAAAGCCTTACACTAAACAAAGCTTTTCAGTACTGAAAGCATTTTCAGTACCGAAAACATTTTCAGGCCTGAAAGCGTTTTCTGGACTGAAAGTCTTACAGTAATCAATGCTTTTCAGTGCTGAAAACCCTTTCAGGCCTGAAAACGTTTTCTTCTTTTTGGTGAAGAAATTAAAGAAACCTCGGAAAAGATCTCTACTACCCCAAATGGTGTAGAAGACGAGAAATCTTGAGCAAAGATCTCTCCTACACCAAAAAGAAGAAAAGTTCGGAAATTCGCTTTCTGATGAGATGTCAGATGTCTTTCTGCTGAAAGCCGAAGCCTTGACCGAAATGCCTGAGCTTTGCGACTAAAGAGCTTTGAAACCATTCAAGATGGTTAAACACTTTGGAAGGCCTTTTTTTGGATTTGGGGCCTTTAGACATTGGCAAGCGAGCCAAAGCGAGCCTGATTGTCAGGGTGCCGGGAAATGAATGAAATTGAATTCACGCGTCTTTTTAATAACTTTGTTGACTTGTTGATTCGAAAATTGCCCAATTTCCCATTTTCCATACAATTATCGAACTATTGGGTTCACTCTTTTAACCGACCGGAGCCGTTGGCAGAAATAGCCTCTTCTCCTCCCCCTTAGCAAGCATATGTCAAATAATGCCCGAACTGTATCAATCGGTAGCGATATCAAAGCAAGATCATTCATTCTCTTTATTTTCACCTTTCAAAATCTGCTCTCTTTACTTATTTTTCAATTTAGATTTGTTGCTTGGAAATGTCTCTATAGCAATTTAGCTACTTTCGAAATAGCTCTTTAGCAATTTAGCTGCTTTGGAAATGTCTCTATTGCTTGATTTGCAATTTCAGAAGTGGAGATGACCGTTGTTGCGGATTATGCTTAACCATGAATCGTTGGACCAAAGAAGGAACTGGAATTCCTAAATGTACCCATGAGTCCATTCCATGGAATGTCGGATTGTGGAGAACAAATGAAGGGGCGGCCCAAGCAGGTCATTTAGTGTTGATTTTTAAATTGGGAACAAGAGCTAACTTTTGAGAACGAAGCTTTGCTTCGACATTGGCTCGACAAACACACTGCAAGAAGTTCCAATGCTCCGAGTCCGACGTGCACGGTAAGGGTTCTAAGGTTTACTGAAATCCAATCATAAGTAAGCTCAATAAGCCGTCGAGATTAAAATCGTTACTCAATTTAGGGCTGTCAAAAGTCGGTTTCTATTTGGGAACGTGAGGCTCATCTCAAAGAACACATGGTTGGTTGAAGATCACATCTATACAGAAAAAAATCAAGAAAGGACCATCAAGAATGATTGTAATGAAGGTAATGATTGTAATGATGGTAATGATTTGCACAGATTTGCACGGATTTCTTTGTCCAGCAGTGAAGATGCTTAGTCAACTAAATCAAAACTAAAAATTTATCAAAAAATCATAGCGACATGTTTTCGTTGAGTCTTTGAACTTGAATATAAAAAGAAGAAGAAAAAGAAAAAGGTCACCTGTGTGACGCAAATTTTTGTAGTCGAATTCATGTTTCTCTGAGAAAGAAATAAAGGAAATGTCTCTTTAGCAATTTAGCTGCTTTGGAAATGTCTCGATAGCAATTTCGCAGCTTTGGAGATGTCTCTATAGCAATTTAGCAGCTTTGGAAATGTCCCTATGGCAATTTAGTTGTTTAGAAATTTTTCTTTTGTGATGCTTTCCCCACTGTGATTTTGGAGTCGAAGAAAAGTGTAGACAAGAATCTTATTGATAAATGCTAAATTAAATTAACCTTAAGGTCTTGGTGGAGTCAGATCAGCCTTGTTATTATCGAGCTACGACCAATTGTTTTGCCCCTTCTGGAATTCGCCATCTTCCTTCAAATAGTGAATGAGGGCATCTTCTCAAGATTTTCAGAAAAATCGGAAATCATTTGCACTCAACTTTTTGAATTTTTAGAATTAATTTTATGCATATTTCATTCAAAACACTTTCTCAGTTCTTGGATTCAATGGAAGTTTAAACTTTCAAGGATTTTTTCTGGATTATCTTTAGCTTTATCTACGTTGATTGCTTCTAATTCGTTTTTCATTGGTTTTATGGTTTATTGGAGTCATTTTAGTAAGCAATTTTATTGGGTTGATTTGATATGGTTTTACAACGAGAAATGGTTATTGCTCTAGATTAACCTAAAAAGTAGTTTTGATGACAAAAGTGACTTTAGCAAGTCATACAAATATCAATTCCAATGACATCTTTTTATTTTCAGATTCAAGAATGCCGGTTGAAAGGCGCGCACAAGAGCGAAAGCGTGAACCGGAACCAGATTTACCTCAAGATTTACCATTGGAGATCGCACACCAACTCGATGTGAAAGACGTCCTTTCTATCCAGCTTCCTCGGCGTCCCTTCTACCGGCTTTTCCCTATGGAATTTCTACGGGAAGCCGCCTATCCACAATGGCTCCAAGTGAGATTA